GGGGACAGCGGGGACAGCGGGGGGATTGGGGACAGCGGGGACAGCGGGGACAGCGCTGGGGACATTGGGGACATCTGGGGACAGCGGGGACAGCGGGGGGATTGGGGACAGCGGGGACAGTGGGGACAGCAAGGACAGCGGGGGACAGCGGGGGGATTGGGGACATCTGGGGACAGCGGGGACAGCGGGGGGATTTGGGACATTGGGGACAGCGGGGACAGTGGGGACATCTGGGGACAGCGGGGACATTGGGGACAGCGGGGACAGCGCTGGGGACATTGGGGACACTGGGGACAGCAGGGGGATTGGGGACAGTGGGGACATTGGGGAGAGTGGGGACAGCAAGGACAGCGGGGACACTGGGGACAGCGGGGACAGCGGGGGGATTGGGGACAGTGAGGACATTGGGGACATTTGAGGGGATTGGGGACAGTGGGGATACTGGGGACATCAGGGACATTGGGGACAGCAGGATCAGTGGGGACTCTGGGGACAGCGGGGGGATTGGGGATGGGGGACAGGCAGATTTTGGTGACATTTGGGGCATTCTGGGTTATAGAAACGCAGATTTTGGTGACATTCGGGTCACTTTCAATCATTTTTTTTTTGGGGTGCAGATCCGTGGCATGGGCATGAACTCCCCGGTGAAAACTTGGAATTCTGGGTTTATAGAAACGCAGATTTTGGTTTAGAAACGCAGATTTTGGGGCATTTTGGGTTTAGAAACGCAGATTTTGGTGACATTCGGGTCACTTTCAATCATTTTTTTTTGGGGGTGCAGATCCGTGGCATGGGCATGAACTCCCCGGTGAAAATTTGGGGAATTCTGGGTTTATAGAAACGCAGATTTTGGGGCATTTTGGGTTTAGAAACGCAGATTTTGGTGACATTCGGGTCACTTTCAATCATTTTTTTTGGGGTGCAGATCCGTGGCATGGGCATGAACTCCCCGGAGCTGCTGCTGCTGGTGGAGAATTGCCCCAAGGGCGCCGAGACGTTGGTGACGCGCTGCCTGCACAGCCTGACCGACAAAGGTGGGGCTGGGGACAGCCGGGGGACACCTGGGGGGACACCCAGGGGTGGCAGGGGTGTCACCAGTGTCCCCTCGGCCCCTCAGTGCCCCCCTCCCCCGAGCTGGTGAAGAGGGTCCGCGATCTGTACCACAAGCGCCTGCCGGACGTGCGCTTCCTCATCCCCGTCCTCAACGGGCTGGAGAAGGTCGGTGTGGCTTTTGTCACCTGCCCTGGTGTCACCTGGGCTCACCTGAGCTCACCTGGGCTGGTTCTCGGTGCAGAAAGAGGTGATCCAGGCGCTGCCCAAACTCATCAAACTCAACCCCATCGTGGTGAAGGAGGTGTTCAACCGGCTGCTGGGGACACAGCACGGTGAGGGGACAGCTTGGGGACACTGGGGACAGCTTGGGGACAGTGTGGGGACACTGGGGACAGCTGGGGACAG